CAGCTTTGGCAGAAACTGCTGTAGGGAAGGGAAGGGTGGTTCCAGGAATTGGGAGTATAAATTCTGATTAGGGCTGGGCTGGTATTTCCCACTTCAACTGCCTAGTTTTCTCTTTAATGAGGAAATGGAATTTTAACTTTTGCCCCCACTCAATGAAGAATTAACTGGGAACAAGGACTTGCCTTCATGATTAAGCTGACCCAAATCTCTATAGGTAAGCATAACCCCACTGAATGAGAGCATTTCAACTTGTACCTGATCTTACTACAAAATTATTGTCCTTCAACTCTAATTAAATAATTTATCAAAGGAAGTGCAGTGATCAATCCTTTTCAAAGAGTAAGATAAAAATTTCTCCTTTCTGAACATGCTCAAGGTGGATCTTCTCTTCTTCTATGCTCCTTAGTCTAAAACACTAAGCAAAGAACAGAAGATGGAGATCTTGAAAAACAGTCAGCAACAGGCAGACACAATTCTGAATTTACACTAATATAGATGGTTTGGTTGTTGTGCTTTTCATTCACTTGTTCAAAAACTACTTATTTTAGCTCTGCTGATACATGAATGAAAACCAGTGTGTACCAGGGGATACTCACAAGTACTTTGTATGGAAAGCCACTTACAGGACAAACACAAAGTAACATGTCACTTTATCAATAGAAATTTGCAACTACAGCCCATGTGGATCCTCCCATCAAGGATCTGTGTCAAATTAAAAAACAAAGGAGAGCCACTAATTTGATCACAGGGTTGGAACATTTATGAAGCGAGGCTGAGAACTGGGGCTGTTGAGCCTGGAGACAGAAGGGTTTGGGTGATTTTAGATCCCCTTGCTCTAGCTAAAGGAAGCCTTCAAGAGAGCTGCAGAGAGACTTTGCACATGGGCATGTACTGAGTGTAGAGATAGGACAAGGGAGAATGGCCTTAAACTGAAAGGGGGTGGGTTTAGTTTAGATATTAGCAAGAAATTCTTTACTGTGAGGGTGGTGAGGCACTGGCACAGGTTGCCCAGAGCATATGTGGACTCCCCATCCCTGGCACTGCTCAGGGCAAGGCTGGATAGGGCTCTGAGCAACTTGGTTTGGTGGAAAGTATCCCTGCCCATGGCAGGGGGCTTGGGACGAGATCATCTTTAAGGTCCCTTCCACCCCAAATGAAACAATGATTCTATGACCTAGAGATCCTTTAAAATTCAGGAATTCCTTTTCTTCCAGTTGTGTAAACTATAAGTGGTGCTAAATCTTATTATTTTCTGCAGGTTTTACTATAAATTGTTCATTTTGGTGACAGAACTATTTCATTTTCAACACAAAGAGCCAGTTGTTGAGTAAAATGGGCTTTGAAATGCAGAGATAATGATCAAGAGGTAAAATTTATTAATAGATTTATGTGCTTTCATTCAGTTTAAAATCCCCATACTTCTCAAGATCAGACAAAATATATTAGCTATGGACACATGCCAAAAGAAGTACTTAATCTTTAAGAAAGAGATAAAAAGATAAAACTAGTGAGTGATTCAGTGGAAGGATGAGACAAAGGGGAAAAATTACTCCAGTCAATTAATGATACACGTTTCCTCCTTATGCCCTACAACATTCATAGAGTAATCAGGCTGGAGAGGTCCTCTAAAGTTCATTAAACCATTCCTCTTCCTCAGGGAAGGTTCCACTACACCTGAAGGTACACAGACATCTATACCTGCAGATGTTTAATCCAACATCACAAGTCTTTTTGTGGCCATTGCACAACCTCCCCAGGCAAGGAGCTGCACTGCTTCACTGTATTCCTGCATCTGCAATATGGTCCTTTCTTCCTCAAATTAAATTATATTTCCCATTTTTAAACCTGGAAACATGAACAACACAAATTTAAAAGGCTGCTGCAAAACAAGATGGAGTAATCTGAAAACTATTTCATTCTCTCTCACAACTCTCCCTGAAGCCTGACAATCTCAAACCTGCTTTAAACTCCACACATAAACCCCACGAGTACAAAAATGTGCATATACCTTTTACACACACTTGCTATGTATGCAGGCTAATATTTTAAAATCAAGTTTCTTTAGTTCAGATATTAAAAACAAGCAGTGTGGGGTACAGTAATTTTTTTTCAGTTTTGTTTAAATTGGTAGATGCTCTTCATTTCAGACAATATACCAGCTACAAGAACACAGAATGATTCTTGGCTTGGTAACACAATTTTGGAAAGAACATTAGGAAATTAGTTTTGGTTCAATGGTTGTTGAATTAGTAATAGCCTAACTGATATAAATCATATTACCTGTGGAGTAAAAAAGTACTGAAGTACAGATGAGACATCAGATGTAGGTCATTCCTTTATCTCACCAGCATTTCAATCACATTTAACCACTATCTGTACATTTATTTACACTGAGTTTTTAACACTGATTCTCACCACTGAGTTCTCACATGTATGAAACAATCATACATGGTTTTCCATGAGGCTACAACATCTGATTACACTTTACCTTAAGAGTATGAACCTTCAATGTCACAAAGGATCGCACCAGCTGCTCAGCTTCTAGGAAATGCAATTCTGGATAAAGACTGATTCCTGCAGTACGAAAAATGAAGTAACTGTGGACTGAAAAGCTGGCTGACACTTGAAAAAATGCCTTCTTTGGTTGCATGATGAAGTTAATTCATTTGCAATGATGCTGCATTAATGCACCAGCTTCTACTGAAACTTCCAATCTTCCCCAGAGAGCTGCTCAAGAACAACTTTAACAGGTAATCTGCTTAATCAATCTCAGCAATCTAAACATGTGTCATGCCAGGTGCCTATGTGAACAGTGATGTGGATTGAGAACTGGCTGAATGGCAGATCCCAGGGGGTCATAAGCAGTGGCACAAGGTCTAGTTGGAGGCCTATCACTAGTGGTGTTCCCCAAGGTTTAATATTGTTTAACTTATTAATCAATGACTTGGATGAAGGGGCAGAAGCCTCCTCAGCAAGTTCCCAGCTGACACAAAGCTGGGAGGAGCAGCCAATACCCCAGAGGGCCGTGCAGCCCTTCAGAAGAACCTCAGTGGGTTTGAGAGTGGGGCAGAGAGGAACAGTTTCAAATGTAACAAAGGCAAATGCAGGGCCCTGCACCTGGGCAGGAATAACCCTGGGTACCAGCACAGGCTGGGGCTGGCCTGCTGGGAAGCAGCTCTGTGGAGAAGGACCTGGGGGACAACAAGCTGTCCATGAGCTGGCAGTGCCCTTGTGGCCAAGAAGGACAAAGGTGTCCTGGGAGTGCTTTAGGAAGATCATTGCCAGCAGGTCAAGGGAGGTGTTTAAAGTGTATCCCAACTTCCTCTGAGGTGAAATAAACAGCATGCTAAGGGCAGTTTACATGTGCCTTCCATCTAATAGTACAAAGCACACTCCTTTAATCATAGAGGCTTCAACCTAAATACATGATCAATACTATCACAATACTTACATTATGAATGTAAGTGCATGAAAAGCAAAACACTGACTTAAACCAGTCCATCAGAAGAATTTCAAAACACAAGAAATAAAGTAATTTTAAGCTGAAAGTTAACCATTTCAAAGTCAGTGCATTACCACCCTGCAGATCAACCACATTAGTTTTTTACTGCTCTTGACAGCCCACAAAATCATTGTAAAATACAGATGCCTTCAACCATAAATGCAGCTCTAGATCAGTATAATGGGATTTAGACCCACCATGAGAAGGAGCAAACTCTGCCAAATTCCTGCTCTTAAACTGCCAGTTCTGTCCACTCAGTCCCCAACTCTCCCTTGTATCAACCACGATAGAGGCCACTTTCCACATTCCTACAGCCCTGTGTATGATGTAAGCACACCCAAATTGCACACAGATAGTTTCTAAGAGATAACATAATGCTCCAGGGGGAAGATGCAAAAATAAAAAGCATGAGAAACTTATGGACAATGCAGAAATTTGACAGCTAGAGGTAAGAAACTAGGTATTGAGAGACTCATCATTTAGTTGAATGCAAGGGCAGAGGTGATGAATACAATGTAAGTTTTTAAAGATGAAAACATCAGGCGAAAAGTGCCTTTGTAAACTAAAGGCAGCAACATAATTAAAACCATGAATTAAAGCAGGTAAAATTAAGTCAGAGAGGAAAAAAAATTATCCATGTGGCTAACTTTTCTACCATCTAACAACAAACAAATAAAAAAATCAGGCTATGAGAAACCAAGGCTTTTAACTGAAGTAATTGCAAATATTCTATAAATACTGTCCAAGAAACCTGACCAGATTAATACCTCTCTGGCTTATAAAACAAAATACTTAAGAACCTATGAGTCTCTTAAAAAGATTTACAGTTACAGGGAGATTCACTGATTTTAGCTGAACCAAAGTTCAGGTTTTTTTTATCTAGCAAAAAGGTAATTTATAAGGCTTTTAAAAAGCAATAAAAAGGTTCCTTTAGGATCAAAAGTAAAAACTAATTTATTTGCTAAATAATGACCTACTTAGGTTCAAGGGTTTTTTAAAGTTATTTAACTAAACTCTTTTTTTGAAGCACAGGAGACTACTGGCATGGTCTTAAAGTGCTTGTTATATGAACATAAACCACTTGATCTATGTTGAAACATGGCTGGCTTTCCAAAACAGAAACATCAGGATCAGGTTTTGTACTTAGACATTCTAAGTTAATAGGACTACCCTTCTGAGCTTCCTCTTTGTACAGTGGTGTGGCAAGAGAGGTTTCCTTACAGAATGAATCAGAGGAACCTAAATCAGGCATTCTCAATTGTCCCAACAACCATTTGTACCATTTGCTACTAAAGGCAACCCAAGAATATAAAGCCAAAGTCAGTTTTTGAAAAATACAACTGTGTGTCATCCTTCAAGAATCAGAAAAATTTGTTGTGTCCTTGTAAAGATAAGCTTTTAGACAAAACAACTTACCTTTGATCCTTTATCTAAGCAGTCACAAAGATTTCAGAAACCAAAACTCACAGCTCGTAAGTTAAATAAAAGACAGGCAGCCTTGTTGTATACACAAATTCTTATATAGAAAACATCCAGGGTTACACAATAACCAATTACTGGTGATTTCTGAACAAATACAGTTCAAAATGGACCATATTCATAGCATCCTTTGGTCAGTACTTTAACTTACATGAACTTTTCAATAATTAACACAAGGCTTAGGAGGTTCTGGTTTTGTGTTTACCAATGAATCAAAATACAAATCCATTGGTACTGTGTCCCAATTCGAAAAAGCCCCTTTTTCAAATGAAAATGAGGTAAAAGGTTTCTTAAAAAAGCCCAACATAAATCAATGAAATAGTTGTCCTCTTCCACGTCTGCTCTTGAGATGACTGGCAGAGCGCCGGAGGGTTTTCCTCTCCTGACGATGTCGTTTCTCAGCTTCCTGCTGTTTCCTTTGCTGCTCTGACTGGAATATTAAAACAAAAATAGACTCAGGTTCCTGTAAATTTATACATCACCTCATTGTCCTACATCACCCTAATTGTCCCAGTATCAATATATCAAGTCAGAATTCCATTAAGTTAATCTGGAAATGTTACAGTTAGTTGCCTCACGCTATCTTGTGTCAGATTGTAACTGTTAATTCTAGATATCCCTTAGGCATTATCATTACAAGCTTTTCAAAGCAAATGTTTAACATAAAGATATAAAAAAACAGTGAATCATGTATTTCAGATAAAAAAACCAATGCTTAACAATACACTCCATAATTTATGTTTAAATACCCTTAAGAACATTGATCCAAATTTGTGGTTACTTAGTATCTACTTTGGTTAACTAGTGTTTTTAAGTGTAATCACAGAATCACAAAATAGAATAAGCTGAGTTGGAAGGGACTCACAAGTATCACTGAAACCAACCCATGGCCCTACAGGAATCTCCCTGGCCAGAACCACACTATGTGCCCAAGAGTATTGTCCAAATGCTTCTTGAAATCTGTCAGGCTTAATATTGCACAATTTAATTTTAAAAAGACAGAACAATTAGTTAAATTTGCTGAAGCATACATGTTTCCTAAAACATGTTCTTAGGAGTTCTTGAAAGTGTTTGATAGACTGTATGCAATTCTAGAAGGACTTTCTACATAAAAGTAATTCTAAATCTCTGCTCCTGTGGCACATGATCTAGTAATGTTTCTTCCCTTAATTAAAAACATGCTGGAAAATATTCTGATGTACCATGTAGATGAAATGGTTCTTAGAGCCACGGACTATTATTTTCTTTGGAAGACTAAAGCTTGTCTTTCAACTGTGCAGAAACTGTAACTAGCAGATGAACTAGCCAAGCTCAGGAAACTGTCCATGTCAAAAAGTACTTCAGCAATTTGAGCAATTTCAAGCAGCCCAGGATTAACTGCACTGAGAGTGTGACAGAATTACCACTGTGGATGCAGCTGCATCCCCACTGCACCTCATTCTGTAACCAGCATCATTCACATCAGCTTATCTCCCCCAGTCTCCCATTCACACACCACCTAAACTGAGCTAGAGGTTTGCTTGCATGGACAGCATGTTGGCAAAGGTGAGATACAAACCAGTTTAACAAATACAGCAATCAACCCATACTGGTATCAAGGCAGAAAAAGCTACTGGTTTTTAGACTTTGATGAAATTTATGAATTTCCATTTTCACTGCAAGTAGAGCAACAAGAAACCCACTATTTGAAAATACAGGTAGTTTCTCCCTGTCTCCAGACCTCTTCTGAAAGAGTCTTGATGAATCTTGCTTAAGGTCATGTTGACAGCTACTCATAGTGTACTGAAACTGAATGACCTTGATCTGCATCAGAAATTTTAAGGTTTGGGGTTTTTAAAGGTCTTCCATACTGCCCCAGCAGTGTAAGTACTTTGGTATTTTAGAAATCACACTATTTTGTTAGATCTATTTGCTATTGATATTGAAAAATAAGCTGCCACACTGTAGGAACCATATTCCAATTCCCTGAAAACTAAACTGTGAAATATCAATGACAAATAGTTCCATCACTGGATGTGTCACTGGTAGCTGGGCATCAGGGGGCTGCCAACACACCACACCTGCAGGAGCCAAATTCAGCCTCAGTTCCACTGACTTAGGAGTTGAAGTGACACCGACTCCATGGAAGGACAATTCTCTCCCCTACTAAATCTTTCCACCTACTCCTAAATACACCTGCCCTTTGAGGAAAGGGCATCACAAAACAGAAGCTGACATTTCAAGTGACATTAAAATCCCTTTTATGTCTTGTTAATTCTAACTCTTCATCCTCTGAAAAGGAGTGCCAAGACTGCACAGCGTGACTTCCTCCTAGCTCTCCCTGGCTCATTCCTTAGGACTTCAGAAGATATACACAGAGTCTGTTTATTTAAGAGAAGACTTGTTAAGTCTTACTTTGTTATTCTTTTAATAGGAGAAAATATCTTCACTGCAGATGCACTATTTTTCTTTAAATTAGATTTTTAGAAATCATTTTAATGCAGATGATGACTATGTACATATTTCAATAAAGCAGTATCGGTAAAAAGTCAGGAAAAGAAAATCCATACATGTTAGAAGCACTATAATTGAAGAAAACCCTCAAAGCTGTATCTTATCTGATGGAATCAAGTAAATTTGGCATTCTGAACCACTGCTGTCTCTTCTTCCTGCAAGGTGTGTCTACTTTGCTCTCAAATCTTTGTCAGTAAAAGGTGACAGTTCAGTGTGCACCACCAACTGCAAGAAACCTTGTGGCTCTGCAATTTGTAAGTTCAAGCTACTGTAAAAAAGATCTTTGAAGCCCTGCAAAGCCCATTTAATGAGCTACGAGACACCAGCAGTTACAGAGTTGGTAAAATTGCCAGAAAAGTTACCCTACAAGGCCCTGCAGAGGAATTTGCAACTTATTCCACAGTCACCACATTTTAAATTCCAGCAATATAGGAATCAAAAATAGATGAAAAAGTTCATCTGCAAACAGATAATAATCAGTAAACTAAGTAAGGTAGAAACAGTCAATAATTCTGTGGTTTTTTCCCCTTGGGGCATATCCAACATGACAATTAAATAACTACTTAGCCATTTTTGTGTTAGCATTTGACAGTGTTTTACCACTGAGAACAGTATTTGACCAGTGGTAAGGAGAAATGTGTTATAGCAAAGATGTTTACCTGAGGAAAACCAATTTGAACACCAAAGTAAATTTTGTCAGGTTAAGTATCAATTCATATGGGTCTTCAGCTTTTAAATTAGATCATCTCTTCAGCTTTTAAGCAATTTTCTAGTACAAAAATCCCTAAGTGTACTGCAGCAGTAGCAGATGCACAGAGGCATTTATTTAACTGTCCCCACACCATAAAGCAATCACCTGTATGCAATCTACAAAATTCTTTAGAATGGAAAATCAAAACCCTTGGGCAAGGTAAATAGGCAGCAATCACCTACACACTCCATACGGAATTTGACAACCGGTATAGGACCAGAGCTTATTCCTGTGACCTGTGTTACATTAGGTCAATAATAAAGGTGGTTTAGAGCTCTGCTTCCATCATGCTGAGACCTTTCAACATGCTGAACCAAGAGAAAGCCTAAACTGCAGCACCCTAAGTTGAATTTGGATCTGCAGACTGAGATCTGATCGGTGCTGGCACTGAAGTTAGGCAAGGCCACAAACTTCTGGTGGTACCTCTGCAAATAAACTATTAAAAGATGCAAGCCATTATTTTCCACCAGAACATAAGATTTTATGAGTGCTGCCTGAGTTATACAGGATAAACACAGAGTACTACGGGAGGCTTTCATTTTCTTGGCAAGAACCTGAAGAGTTGGCAGCTTATAAAGAAATGAAGAGGGACATTTGCTTGATGGTTTCCTGTTCTTTCATGCAAAAACTAAAGTTACTTGTGCATTGTCTTAAAAATTACATATATATATATACACACACACACATACATACATATACACACACATATAGCTCACCTTCTTTAATTTGAATGTTGCCTGTTTGCTGCCTACTGTGGTATCAGACACATTGAGTGTGCCAAGTTTTTCTTCAAGCTTTAAACGGTCTTCAAGAGTTTTCCTGCAGAGAAAAACTAACATTAGTCCCTATTTTTGCCATCTTTTTACTTATCTTTTAAATAAAAGATAATGCAGGCAAAATTAATCTCAATTTCTCTGAAACCCTGAAATGTCATAACTAAAAAAATAAACATTCAGGAAACAGAAAGAAAGATAAATTCAAATCATTCTCTCCAGACACTGCTTTCAGTAGAAAAACTTTTAAAATTTATGTAAAGTTTATTGTTTTTGCTGCTAAAAATTATCATGATTCTAGTTGAGAAAGAAACCACACCCTTCTATTGCTATAGTTTTCTCTAAAATATCCAGTAAAGTTGGTGATATTAAACTGCACAAATAAAAAAAGTAATGCTAGATATATTCAGTTTTCTTGAAATCTTATAATTTCTGCATTGGAAACACTTTTGAGGGAAGGAAGTAATCTTGACTATACACCCGAACGAATTAATCTCCAAACGAATCACTTTACTATTTAATCCAAGCACAAATGACTGTTTGGACACTGTGCCCACAACAGTCTAAGTAGTTTACTGAATAAAAGAACAATATAAACAGGAGAATGTGATAAAGACAGACCCTGGGCCCAGACAGGAGCTCCACAGAAGCATATGCCTTCAAGCCCAGTGCTTATCACTGAGTTTCTCTAAGCAAACTGGTGTAGAGTCTCTCCCTCAGGCACCAAACTCCAGCATTTCTGTGGCCAAGGGGGTAGGTGCTATGGACAAAACTGACAATTTTCAGCTCTCCTCCACTGAAGTTAATGCCCTGCAAAAGCAAGCCACATGGATGTGCCCCAGTGGCTCCAGGTTATGAGATGGTATTTAGTATCATGGTTGCCAACTTCAGTTAAGCTGGGCTGTAAACTGGAACAGCTGAGGAGTAGAAAAACACCTTGTTCCCACACAGCCTCCAGCTCAGGGGGAGGCAGGCAGCCAGGGACAGTGCTGCCTTCAGCCAGCCTCCCTAAAGACACCAGGGAGTCCTAACACGGCTCATCCTTCTCCTATAATGTAGGTCCTATCATTCAAGTAGCACCCTCTGAGAATATGACATGGCTTTTACGATCACACTCTCTGCATGTGCTTAGAAAACATTCCCTTTACTGTAAACAAAATTAGTTTCTGCAATTTGAGATTCTATTAGTGCCTCATTAGCTCTCTCTGAAGATGTCCAAGAGACCTTTTCTGTACAAATTTTAAAGCAGAAAAGAAATCATCATAAAAATAGAGATCATATATAAAAAACAGCAGCCACCAAAGTCAACGGCTTTTACTGTGTATGAAGAACTCATGGCTGTGGCCTATGCATGAAGTCTCTGAAGTCCACTCAATTTTGGTTAATGAGCCATTTTATGTAACAAAGACTTTTCAGAATAACAATGAAAAATTACTGTCAAGAACTACTTTATTTCTCATGACTAGGTACTTTGTATTTTTTTCTGTAGTATATTTTTCATTGAGTACATGTAAAAACTTGTTCCATCTGTGCGAATCGGAAAGACAAGCTAAGCCTTAGAGCTAACTGTGGCAGAAGATCAGTCACCAACATTGTGGTGGGATTTCTACATTCAAGTGAAGCCCCATTTTCTCCCCTTTGAAAGTGAACTGGAGAAATATGGCTACTACCCAGCAATTATTTAGCATGACTGCCTAGACACTGCTTCAGTCAGGAGAAAAATTAAAATGAGTAGGTACTAGCAACATGCTGTGGGGTTGTAATCTTACTGAAAAAAAACATAGGTTTGGCTCTATTTATCTGAAAATGTGCAGACCTCAAATCATAGTGAATTGTACATACTGATAAACAAACAACAGCTGGGTTCTTTGTTTTGGTTGGGTTTTTTTACATCTTCCTGAACAAATTAATTCAAGGGATACATTCACAGCATTATGGGAAGTGAATTCCCCTGCCCTAATGTAAAAACCAAACAAAAAATTACCCATGCAATTTTTTTTTCCTCATTATAAGAGGACAGTTTTTCAGGACATCTCCTGCTGTAAAACAGGAATACCAACTATGATTTTGTTGGCTTTCTTGGCCACCTCTGAAGACACATGCATTAACTGTCATACTTTTTATAAAATATGACTACTATAGTTTTTGATTTTGAAATTTTTTAACTTTAGTAACATACTCTTTAAAGGGACATCAAGTGTATCAGAAAACATCTTAGCACACAGATAAAAATCCTTTCCTTTTATGGTTTCCTTTCAAGTTACTAGGTAGGAAACTTATGTTGTAGGGAAAGAAAGCAAGGTTTTGCAGCTTTGTTGTACAAGCTTAAGAGTACAAAAGGGGAAAATTAAACATAGATGGATTTGAAACAAGGGGTTTTATAGAACCATGAGTAAATTTTGCAGCTTTCCTGGACAGAAAAATGTGTATGTAGACTGTTGGTCGAGAAAGAAATTTATAGTACGCATCACTGCTTTAAAAGTTGGGCTTGGAGCCGTGCTGAGTCAGGAATATGTCAAAAGAAACACCCAGTTTTATATAAGTCATAAACTGTTTCCTCAGGTAGAACATTATATGATTAGAGAGAAAAAGAACATCTAGCCATTAAATGCATAGTGAAGGTATTAAGGTACTTAATTATATTGGTCACAGACCATCATCCTGTAACTTGGATATATCAAATCAAAGACAAACATGCCAGCCTCACCAGATTGTACATGCCACTACAGTCTTTCCAGTTTTCAGTATCCTACTTCAATTAATTACTTTTATGCTGACTATTTATCACTGAATGAGGCCAGCACAAAACATATTTATTTTCTCCATAAAATTCTAATATGTAAAAATGCTTACTAACCAAACAAGTTAGCTCAACACAGGCTAAATCATTATGACTACAAAATGGTAACAGATATGCATTATATGAAACAGATATCAGCTGTTGATTTTTAAATTTCTTTTAAGAATTTGACAAACACCAAACTCCATACTGAGAACAATGCTTGGATGAACACAAAGGGGATCAGTGAGCATACAGCTAATTGTTTAGACAATGATAAAAAATCCCCATGTAAGTCAATTCAATGACACCAACTCAGAAAACAAAGGAAGTGATGCTACCACATTCATTTTTTTGGTCATCCTGGTCTGTCCTCAAATTCCTCTCCTTTTTTTTCTTTTACATTTTACATAACAGGCTATCTGTGCATCTACCAGAGAGGATATCTCTTAGCAGCAAATCTTAAGACATTCTCCTTTCTTTACAAGCAGTCTGTTAAAAGTCTTTTGATGGTTTATGTCATCATAGATATTCCTTCCTCTACAGCACAGGTCCGTGGTACATGCTTTTGCTTTTCCTGGGGTGAAGAAATTATTTTTCCCCCTTAAAACCAGATAAAATTTGTGCAAAAGAACAGTATATGAGTAGTCTGCAGCCATACAGTCTTTTAATGAAATATTTCACTTGCACTGAGAATACAGTGCCATTTGACCAGTGTTTCAGGCTCTTTCCAAGTTACAGCTAATATGACTATAAACCTAATCACAATGTAAAAAATTATTTTTAACCTATAATATTTTGCCAGAGTATCCAGAGTAGATTTTCCCTGACAAAGAAGAAAAACTGACAAAATTAAAAAGTTGCTTCAGCATCTGGAACAAAGGTAAAAAGAAAAATAATCAGAAGAAAGTTAATGGAAACATCTAAGGAAATTAAAAGTTCAGAATAAGTGGGCATATTCAATAAAAAGAAGAAAGAAAAAAGGTTGAATTTTTATCAAGTGTTTCTTTATGTGTCTCCTAAAAATTCCCATCATAAAACAACTAGATTGTAGAGTAGTCATTAGTGAGGTAAAGAAACAGCCCCATTGTATTATTAACTATCTTTCCTTTGACTGTATAATTTCATTCTAAGTAAAACCAAAATGTTTATTATGAAATCCATCTAGCCCAACAACCCATTTCCAACATCAGTCAAAATTCTGTTCTGCACCACCTGTGCTGCAAGAACTTTGAAGCTACTGTCTTGAAAGGTTTAATGAGTATCTGTGCTCCAAACAATAAAATTCTATTAAATCTCATCTTCTGAAGGGCTCAACTCACCTCTGAAAAAAACTAAATCAATGAGATTTGCAGCCACTGAGCACCTCAAAGCTGAGTCCTTTAATTAATATGCTCTTTCTTTAGTTTGAAATGCTTATCCATGTACCCATTATTTCAGATGATCACCAGTTTAAGGAAATGAAAGAACCAAACCAAACAAACTACACTTAACAAACACCCTCCCCTAGCCTGGCATTTTGTACTGCCAAACGAAAAAGAGAAATAGTAAGTCCTGACATTATAAGGACAGTGTAGATTTTGAAAATTTCTAGATGCCATAAAAATACCTGAACAAAACAATTTTTCTTTCACCATGCTGACCCATCTTGATCCTGCTCCCAAAACAGTGACTACTCATGTAGCATTCTAAACCCTTTTGGACAGTCAGATTAAAAACATCCAGTCTGTTAACCTCATACTGACACTGGTGGAGAAATATAACAAGACATCACTGTTACCTGTGAGAACAGCACTTCACTAACACTGAGTAATGGATCCCCCAGTCTGACTCAGGAGTATCTTAATAATTTCATTTGTGTTGTGTCTCTGTCCTACTTTAAATAGCGTATTTGTTTATCTATAAAACAAAGCCTACAATGACTATGTCACCTTAAGTTATACCCTTGGATCACCAAATGTAGCTTTACTAGCAAGTGCTTCCAAGCCAAAACACTTTAGGCCTGCACTGTAGGGAAATACTTAAGAATCATCCACCCCCACCTATTAAAATAGGAACATTAGTCTTACTTCATTAATTTTTGTTTTTTGGCAGAGTCTTTGAAGCTTCTGAATTCCTCTCCTTCTTTAATCTCAAAAAACTGAGGTTTTAGTAATGTTTGCTGATCCTCCTTGAGCCTTTCCTGCCGCTTTAGTTTTTCCTCTTGGCGTAAAAGCTTGCGCTGTTTCCTGACCTCTTCAACCCAGCCTTTTTCATCATCTGAACTCTCAGAACTTTCTGCATCACTTGCTTTTCCTTCTGGTTCTTCCTCCTCTTCCTGCAGACAAAAATAGTATAAAATAAGAAATCATCAACGAATTTTCTTTCCAAATCATTCCTGCAATTAGAGTACGTGACAGCTTTTACACAGATACAGCTGAAGAGAACTACAACTTTTGAACAAAAGCAGTAACAACAAATAAGCTGAAAATATATTACAAAGTTGTTACCATCTACATATTTTATGTTTTTCAAACCTGTATTTGTGCAAAAACAGTATTACATCTAAAAACTAGATTAAAATTATAAATGACAATTATTGTAGCTGATAAGACATTCTTGCATTGCCTCCATCTTTCTGGGGTGAAAAGTCTGAAAGCCTGAAACAGAGGAAAAGAAAACTCCATAGGCTTTCTTAATCCAAATGGAAAATATTTTACCTGTCCTTGTGCTTCCAGTTCTTCTAAGATCTTTAGCTTCCTCTTTCTTTTCTCACTTATTTTAGAAACAAGTGGGTTAAGTAGCCTAAATTCTTCACTCTGCTCATCCACCTGGAAATCTGGATTCTCAAACATGACCTTAAAACGATCATCTTTGAGAAGGCTGGGCAGATTCTGGAACAGGAGCAAAGCATGAGCAAGTTAGACAATTCTGAAACAGACATTAACAAAATACGTAACACTTTTTCTTAATTAAACAAAATTAATAACCAGCATATGAAATGCCAGTTGCTTTATCCTTCCAGGTCAAATAAAAATCAAGATTTATGCTTATTGTACTTTAACAAAGATTGTTTTAAGCTACCTGTAAGCAAGAGTTTTTTTAATACACAGTACACTTTAAATACACAATTACTAATATTTTCAGATAAATGTTTCTCATACATTCAGCCAGCTAGTCTGGAGACATGTTGATATCTACTGACTAATCAGCAGTACCTGCAAGGCAAATATACTGCCTGATGGGGATGAGTCTACAACATGTAAAACAAATTATAAGGGTACGTATCTTTATGTAATGCTACTATTATTTTACTGTAAATACTTAAGAGGAAATGTTGTTATACATATTATAACACTTTTTCTTCACTACTTTCACACACAGAATGTAAAAGGCAGTTTAAATCATGTCAAAGTAAAATGAACTCAGTGTAAATTATGCTGCTGGTGACTTCAGAACAGTTCAAGCTTCTAATTCATCTTAGGAGAAGACCAGTTACTGTCATTTTAAAATCATTGCATACATAGCTTTTTAATACAAAATGTTAAAAAATTAACATTGCTCAACTTATACCAGCATATTAATCCCACCACTGCACTAGGTTTTCATTGTTATTGAAGAAAAAGAGGGTGGAACTAAGGATACAGAAAACAAGAATAAATTTCAAACACAAAACCAGTCCAAATGTGTAACTTTCAACCACAACAAAAATTAAATCCCAAAGCCTGAAATACATTGCTTGTCATAGGACTCTAATACTGTTTCAAAAAAATAATGTCTATATACATTTTTATGTACATTTTACTCTATTTAGTCCACTTAATAACACAATCTCTAGGTACTTCAAGACAAATCAGTCCCCATCTACTGAACTCTCATTTAAGTTACACCACCACCTATCTTTTTAGTAGTTCATCCTTCCTCTAACCTCAAGACATAAGATTTCATTATTTATCACATGCAGGCTAGTGTCTTCCTATCATGAATGCTATATTCCTGTAAGAATGAGGACCTATGAAGTGCTACCTATATAAAAGGTAGCACTTTTATATAGGTAGCACTATAAAAAGCCTCCCCTCCCACTAGATACTAAACATTTACCCATTTCTTCAATTAAAAACTTCTCATAGCAGAGTTATGGACTACTTTTAACATCCAGAAGAACTCCTGTTGCATAAAAGCAAACCATTTTGGCTATTCTACAAAATATATTTAACTGTATATACAAAAAAGGCAATTGTATCTTAAATTTTATAAATAACATCTATCCTGTCATGGTCACCACCAAAATACCAAAAACATATGCAACATCAGGTCTTGTTTGAACAGCTGTGGTGTTGAGGCTGCATTAACCAGCTTTTGGAGTTCTGTGAAACCCATATTACATTCACAGTGAGTATTTAATAATTTTTACCATTAAGTTACTAAATGTTTTTTTTTTTTGTGCTGCAGCTACAGTCAAATACACCTTAAAGCCACCTACAGAATAAACAGAACCAATGGTATTTTGAATCTCTTTGGCCAAACAGCAACAACATAAAAAATTAATCCTGTAAGCATTGCTAGTTCTGTGCTCCCAGCCAGAGAATTCACCAAAACAAGAGCTCACCTTCTGTTTTCTTTTTTTACTAAACTGTTGCTCTTCTCCTTCTTCTTCAATCAGTTTGAGTGCAAGTTCTTTATTAACTTTTGGGAGTTTCTAAAAAGAGGAAAGCAATTAATAAATTAGCCTTTTACACATGCAACCTACATGCTTTACTCACAATTGTTTCAGAAAAGCTCCTTGACTGGTTCCAAATATCTCTAGGTACTAGTAAAGCAACTGCCCCTAGAGAAGATTTAAGAACTTGTATATTATTTTTAACTTCTAATGCATCAGCCTTAGAACCTTAAAAGCAACTCTTTCTCCTTCTATGTTGAACAGATCCAATCTAGAAAGTTACTAGTTATAAACACAATACAATTTTCATGTATCTCTTTCCAGAGTATCATGTTTCAATGGCTTAAGTAATTTAATGACAGAAGTAGAAAATGCAAAGTTTTACCAGTGGATTATTTGCTGAAGTGGCAAATGAGATGAGACCTGCTCTTTTAGTTTGATATCAGCCTTTCAAAATCCCACACATGGGAATTTTATGTTTCCATTCAACAAGTTCTATAAATTACTTTGTGTGTGCAATGATAAACAGATTCAACTCCTCCTAAGTCACTACATGTCTAGGATACACTTAGGAATATATTACTCTTTATGAATAGCTTTCCCCAAAGTATACCATTTATTTCTAGGATTTACCTTCAATTGAACTCTCTGTGCACGAGTTTCTTCTATCTTCTGCCTTATTTTCTCTCTTCTATATTCTTCATAGGCAAAGGGGTTGGCCATCATTTTTGCCTTTGAACAAACAAGAGGAAGTAAAAAGAAAGTACCATTAATACAGGACACAGTCCATTATCTGGATGGAAAAAAACTCCAGCCAAAACAAAAAACCACAAAAAGACAAAGAAAACCCACAGCATATATATTTTACTGTTAAGAATAAAAAATTGATAAGATTCAGCCAGTTACCTTATGATAAAGTCTTATGTCCATGAAGAAGCCATGCATATATGCTCTGAGCAATGATGATCCAATGAGATGAGCAAGGCCTAGGAAAAAAGTTCCAGAGAATTTCAAAGAACTTTCACATATAAAGAACTTCTATTCCAAGACAGCCACTTCACTTCCTTAAGACAAACAAATGCTGCCAAATATTTTGCTGCCAATGCTGTTGCAAAATATCAATCTAACAGTCACAATCATGACATCAAGACTAAGCAAAAGTGGGACTAAGAATTGTTTTGGCCAGCAAAAAAGTTCAAGCTTCTTCGGAGCAACCAGATCCACTTTTCTTTTCATAATACACGTTACTAAGTGCTTTTTAAAAATTCCCACATGCACTATGCTCTACAGAACTTCACAAGAATTCCAGAGGATGATTTTTGGGAAGTCCATAGGTGTTTGATAATCCTTTTTTTAGTGTGATAGATTTTTCATTAAAGAATTTTGCCCTCTGTCAAACCCAACACTCACAGTCAGAGGTAAATATGGTAAACTGGAGCAAAACATTGCAATCAAACCATGTAATGGACAGAAAAAGGACTAACTGCCTCAGGACAAGGTTGTTTACCTTCTCTGCTATATAATTTTCAGTATTTCAATTTCTTGAAACTATTAGCCCTAGAATGATTTGCATTTTCTGAAAATTACTACATTCAAATAGGGTAGCCTTTGGCTGCAAGTTCCAAATTCTATTTCAGCATCTCAAAAATATTTTGACAACTAAACCAACTTTTCTTCCAAAGCCTTCCATGTGGCATATGAAAGCACAACAGATTCCCAGATGTATTATACCAGCAAATATCAATCACCTTCTTGAGATAAAAATCTGAGAAACACAAGTGTCTTGTGTTATACTGGTTGGGAGTCAAAGAACTTAGAGCCATCAGTCTGGAATATTAATAACCAAGAAAACAAGAGAAAACTACTGTCAGTGAATTTCTAGCAGCCCTCATATATCACACTGAAATTACAAAAATCAGATGTGTAATTGTTCAAAAACTGAACAAAGAAGTCAGCCAAAGAGTGTATATAACTGTTTTACCTAAATTTTCAAGGTCTTTTCTGGTAACAAATTTGTAATCATCATAAACAGTGCTTTCTGGATTCTCTTCCAGTTCTTCAGTCAAGTTGTCCAAGAAGGAACACCATTTTGGGGCAGGTCCTAAAACCTGTGGATATATGGAAAGTTATAACATTGCATTTTCTTACAGAAAGCCTACAGTTAGACTCTTGGCTACTATGCTACAAACAAATTAATCCCACAGCACTTAGGGAACACAAACCTACTGTTTGCATTACCAACAAAGAGTACTATAGATTATGTTTTATTTTAATTTAGATCATTTGAGACCAGGCAGTCTAGAGGTTTCAAGTTTAACTGTTTCAAGTGGTCCCAGTCTCATTAATTTTTTAAAAGCTTAGAGCCAAACATTATAGAAGAAATTACAAATTAATGGCACTAGATAGCAACTAATTTGTAAATTGCTGCTGGATCTTTAACTTGTTAGGTTCACTATGCAATCATGTTAAATCCTACTCTACCCTGTTTATCTTAATTATAACACCACAGATGTATTTAATGTATTTTATTCAGGGATAAACCCAGACTGTATGAACAGATAATAGGAAATATTAAGAATACTTTCATATTTCCATGATGAGGCAAAAGATTTGTTTGCACAGTATTAGGTAGCACTATCAATGTATTTTTCCATATAAGTTTCCTCCAATTCCCCAAGTTAAAAATCAGCTCCCTTTACTTTTCCCTCCTGCTGTTCTGATTGAGATTCCTTTCCATCTTGACTCATGCAGTCACACTCAGCTGTTCCAGTAGTCTTATTTTAGTAGGTGAGTTAGCTGCATGGAAAAATCTAACACTGCATTTCTCTCCCTAGTGTAAATCAGCTGACATTTTAGAATGTTAAGTGACCAGCTAAATCCCATAGTGGGACTTTTAACGAGGCTTCTGATTTGTTTGCTAAAAATTCATGTTAAAAACTCCAGTCAACCATTGGAATGCTTGTGATACAACAGCATTTTAAGATCCTATTCAATTAGAGAAACAACCAGAAGTGATTTTATTTATTTAACATATACATAGTTTGTTTTAACTTGATTGCTGATTAACTGTATGAGATAATGCTGCTCATTTAAAAAGTGTGTTTCTTCTAATTCAAAAGTCTTATTTTGAAGACAACTACACTCAAAAAACCCTGTAAAATTGTGCTCTAGACCATAACATTTTCTAGCATATTCTTGCCTGTAACACTCTAGAGAATATTTTATTCTAGCCCACTACTGTTTCTGTATTAAATATGATTTATCTTCCTAAGATCTCAGCCCTTGCTGAAACCATTACATGCCAAATGAAAAGTGCACTTTTTTTACCATGCTGCATATTTCATTCCAATTACCAAGCACTTCCAAGGAAATACCCAAGATGTCACTAACAAGAAACATTTTAGCTACTTAATTAACCAAAATCCCCATGTCTGCTCCAGGAATAAATGACATATATAGCATTCAGACTGACTTCTTGCCAACATTCCAGAAGCTTTTGTCTCCATCTTGTCTCCATCCAGATTTCAATTTTTTGTTTTATTTCCCCCCCAACCACTTATTTAAATAAACATTTTTATTATGCTTATATATTAAAAAGCTTTTCTATTAAAAAGAAAGCAGTCTAGATCTATTAAATGTCTTCATGCCCCTTAAGAAGTCAGTTATCTGTGCCTCATTACCAGACCATCAAAACATGACTGGTGTGGAAGAACCTTAAGTTTACCTACAATTTTGTTTTAGATGAAACAGTTTGTCCTTCTTAGTAAAAAAAAACAAACTCCCAAGCTGCTCACTAACTAAACAAAACTTCTCTTGTAATAAAATTTAAGGACAACATTCTCTCCTATATGCAAAGCCTGATACTGAGAGAAAAACCTTTCATGGGGCATAATCTGTGCCATGAAACACATGAAGCAAAAAACCTACTTATTCACAATCATCTGTGGACTGAATTGGATGATCAGATCATAGAAAACCAAGTGGGGGAAATGAGATAGTTAATGGGAAAAAGTGGTGGCAGAATACCAGGAAAAAATAGAAAGTAAAAAACCATTATTAAAATTTTGCATGTTAACTGACAGAAAGGAAAACCCTACACAGATGTCTGTATATGTTTATTACCTTATTTCCCCTTCTCCCACCCTGCTGAAACCACTTTCCTACCTATTCTAGGACACCTTAAGAGCTCTGCTTCATGCATTAAAATGAAACATTTTTTAAAGCTTGGGAAGAAATTAAAAAATAGAAACAGCAAACAGTATCAGCCACAATGACAAGAACAAAAATAAGAATTTTCTTTGCCCTTCTTTTGTGATAGTAATTCTTCACATAATTTAACTTCTACTGCATTTTTAACTGCAGGATTTAATGGTCCTCTGTCAAACAACAGCTGTCCCATGATGATGCTGAAAGCACTCCAGAATGCGAGGCTCCAGGGCTCCACCATTCCTGTGCCCAGATACAAAAGCAACAATTGACAGGGTTGGTGTGCACTGGGCCTCCATGGACAAGGTGGGAGAAGTGAAACTGGCCTGTCTTCCCCAGTTCATGACTTTCCATACAGTGGCCACATTGCAACACAAGTGGGACCCCTTGGAGCTGCTGTCATCCAGCACTGGCACCACCTCAGCCTGGCCTGCAGTCCTTGTTAAAGCCACCAGAACAAAACAAAGCTGTGGAGTTTGTGTAGGTCAAGTAATATACTGGCAATTTGGAGTGAAAAGGTACAAATCTACCACAACTCACAGAGAAAAATGCACTGAAATTCACAGCACAAATAAGAAAATGCTATGAGGTAGGTAATTGCATGCAATTTAAGTGACAGATATAATTTTTACAATATTCATGATATACCAAATAGGTTTCTCTGCAAGTTTTAGAAAAGTTGCACTCAGGGAATGGGAAGATCATTATTAAATGAGTGCACATCTATGCTCACCCTTTATCCAAATACTTTTTAGCACAGGAAAACCAGACATGAACACCAACAGTGATCAAATTAATATTTTTTTCTGTTTTCATTATTATTTTGCTTTCTGTAGGATAACCACTTCTAGAGACAATTTCTGCCAATTGCTACTGAAAGTCACTAAGATTGCTTTGAAAATGTTTTTGCCCATCAAGAGAGGAGCTTCACCCACCAGCAGGGCCCAGCTGGCAGTGAGTGAGGGGGTGCTCTGCTCCCCTCCCAGCACCTTCCTCCTGCACTGGAAACAGCACCCAGGAGGTGACCAAAGCACAGCTGTCCCTCAGTGTCCTACCACCACACTGCAAGGCAGAGTGACAGATGGGTCACACCAGTGCCTCCTCCCCATAGCAAAACTTACCACTACCATGGCAATGCAGACACCTCACCACTGCCTTTCATCTTATTCCAACCCATAGGAAGTAAAAATGCGGACTTAATAATTATTAGTATTGTGCCACCTAATATCAAATTTTTCTTACACACATTAGAATATTTGTCTACTTTACACATAGAAAACACAAAATACGAGTAGTCATCTAGCATGCAGACCAAACTGTCCTAGAAGAGAAAAATGTTCACAGAAAAATATTTTTTAAATATTGTAAAAAAACTTCAAAAATCACAGTTCTTTGTATTCCATTCTACAAGATGTTTGACTTCATAATCTTGTGGCACCACAAGTCTTACATGGTACAGAATGTTCTTCTGGCCATGCCCAACTCCTGAGCACTTCTGTAGAAATATCACCCTGTCACTGGTCTGTAATTCTCCTGAATGTAATGAACTCTAGAACAGCATAGGTATCATGCCCAGCCCACAACAGACGTTACTTATCTTCATTTGAAACACCAGACAGCACTTGTACACTTTTAAACACCACTCAACAGTTTGACAGCCAGCTCTGCAAAGCTCTTAGAGCCATGAAAACCTGCCCTAATCCTAACTAGTATTAAACATGTTCAACTACTTAAGAGAAGCCCAGGATGTGTAGAAGCTTCCACAGTCAGATGTCAAGAGATTTAAATTAAACTACTATGAATGCACATCCAGACAAGCTTTGTAAAGTATATGTTTGAAGGTTTCTGAGACCAATTCTACAGGAGTGACTGAACAGTCACTCTTTTCTTCTCAGGGAGTAAAAACAGGTTCCAATCTGTTTTTCTGGATGTTAAACAGCAAGTTCCTGGAAGATTTCAAACAAGGCAGTGATAAACTCTTCAGCAACAAACAAGATGTCAAATATAGCAAGACTCAACCCCCCCAATCTTCACTGGTTTATTTTAGCAATCTGAAATACGCAAAATGCTCACAGACAGCATTTATCAGATTTGAAAATTACTCAGTAGAATTTGGAAAGTTCAGACTGTCCAAATTTTCTCTAGAAGACTAACTTAATGTATGTGGACAGCATTTAACCACACAGTTCCAGAGGCTTTGGAAAGCAGAGGCATTGTTTGCTGTGGCTGCATGAGATTCAGAAAAATTTCAGTTTCACAAAAATGAACTCTGTAAGGCTGTATCATGCCACACCATAGTGATAGAGCTAGTAACAAAAAAGCATGAAAACACATCCTATCACTGTTCTTTTGTATTTTAGAAGTAAAACCTTCTATCAAAAATCTATGTGTTGTGGTACCTTCCACACATTTTGACTAAGACCATTACTAAATAGCAAAAATGTACTAACTAAATAATTCACTGCCATATTATTTGAATAATGGTGATTACAACAAAAATAGCATATATTTAAGGTATTCAACAGATCTCTAGGTACAGTGTATTGTGAAAAATTATTAATGAATTGGTGGAGACATTTTGAACAAGTCCAGTACATGTGAATGCAAACTGTAGCAAGGACTGTGAAAAGCAGCAAGGAGAATTTCTGAAACAGTAATGCTTGCAAAAGAATAAATACATCACAGAGACACTATAAACTAGAGCTGAGTTAGGCATCAGAAGAGTGTGACTCTTAACAGCTTTTTAAGTGGCAATAATGGGGAACAACAAACAACAAATTTCAGATGAAGTCTGAAATACTTCAGACAAAAACATTATATAATCTGAGTGCTTGTGATAAGATGGGACTTGACTTCACAATCCAAGGTGGCTCATCCATTCCTCCATTCCCAATTAAAAACA